ACATATTTTCCCTCCATTATTTGGGATTATTCCAGAGGTATTTTACATGGCGGCAGGTGTTTACCGACTGCCATTTATCATGAGGTAAAATGTATCCTCAGCATAATCACATCACAGTTATAAGAGAGTGTGCACACTTGTGCAGCTACAATATTTGATTGTTTGTTTTTAATTCTCCTCTGGATAAGATTTTTTTTTTTTTTTTTTTTGGAGGTATACAGGTTACAGGTCACATTAATAGTAGAAGAAGTGTAGACGTAATTTATCTATTTGTATTTGCATTTGAACAAAGGGTGTGTAGACTTTTTGTACCCACTGTATGTATTTGTTTCTTAAAATCTTTTTGCAGGAACTCCACTTGGCTGAATTTGTGTCATCCTTTATTTGTACTGTATGTGGCCTTTCTTCAACCTTCATCCTTCTTCCCTTTGTGTCCATTAGCAGCCTAAAAGTCCTTCCGCTTGGCTTGTGATGCGTAGATGGTGGCACAGTGGGGTTCCGGAGGATGGAGCTATTATGCTGAAGGAAGGACACTGAAGTGAAATGTGCCAAAAGAGGAATTGGTGTGATGTTGGGGTCATGTGAGGGAGGAAGGGAGAGACCTGAAAGTGGGCAGGAAAGGTAGAGTGTGTAGGAGGTGGGCGGTTGCCCATGTCCTCTGGGAGCTACCTTGTTCTTGCAAGCTAATTGAAGCTCTGTGTGGCAGCAGCCTCGGAGCTGTCACTCCAATGAAGAGCCCATTTGCTGCATTTTACGGGCTGTGTGCTGAATTCTGATGATGTTAGCAGAAGCTGTAGACACTGTCTCCCAGAGACCCCCGTGCCCCCGCCCCTCTTTCATGGAGGTACAGCCCACACGCTGTTTCCCGGCAATGGGATGATTATATGTAACAGGGTCACAAGTATTCTGAACACGAGCGGCAAAATGTGAACACGAATCGTTATCACACTGAGAATTTTGTAAATTTGTTGGGCAATCTCATACATGATAATGTGATATTAGACTCTTCGCTTTTGCATGTTTTCTCTCACTGGAATAGAGTAAATTAGAAATGTTCTCGGAAAGCACATAGCTGGGAGGGTCCTGTGAATTATTGATCATTCGGCAGTCACTTATGACAATATTTATCTTAAGGGGAAACATACTACATTTGGCATACATGCCATGAACCAAAATGAGAGAAAAACGTCATCTTTCATACATAAAGATGCATACTTTTGATCGGCACTGCCAGGCTGATACTGATTTGACATACAGACAGGTGTTTCTAAGTTTTAGCAATGTTTAGTCCCTTCGCTGAGCCCTATTATCGTCGCAAAGGCAGAATATTGGATATAGCTCATGTGCTGGATATCATTATATTTTGCAGGTCTGTGGCTGGTGTAATCTTTTTGCCTGCTTCAGGGTCATTTTCATTGATTAGCTATTGGTTGGTCTCTGCTTCGATCGAGTCTGCTGATCATGGCAATTGTAAAGTAAGAATATGGTTGTCGAGCCCAGCTTTACATTGATAATGACTCTCTGTCCCTGCCCCCCGACATGCATTATTTAACTATCAATAAGTGTCTCGAGCCATCACCGCTAATGAGATATGCAAGCAGGTCTCGTATTGATCCATCACGATATATCGCTTTCAAAATGCATATGCGTTTCATATGAAGGTGTACAAGTGCTGATATAAATTATGATTGTTTCGGGCAAGGTTGGTGTCATTCTGCTTTGAAATGACAACATTAGCCTCCACCTAAACAGTGATCCTGGTCTCACGCAAACATTTTTTGCTGATTGAAGTGAAACTGAGACGGTGTCCATGGGGAGAGCCACAGGTGCTGATCAGCACATCACCCAGCAGTCATTAAGACAGTTCCCAGCAGTGCCCTTGTGAATTCTTCTGGGGATTGTGTTCACTGTGCCGTAACCTCACTGTTTCATCTGAAATTGCTGCTTCCACACGCAAATGTTAGTTTCTTTTCCTGACACTCAGCTGACTAACAAACAATGTTTATTCAATTGTTTTGCTCAAGGGTCTTGCTAATGTGAAACATGATGCAAGATGTTGATAACCTGCTTCAAATCACCTTGCTGTTGCATCTGATGTCATGGTTACATGCTCATTGAAAAACATGAAATGACAATCACATGCACCGGAGGCCTCAAAAACAGCCTAAATCTCTCCGCAGCTCTATGCGCCTCTGCCCAGCGTGGACTTGTTTGTGCTGCAAGCTGCAGGATGCTTATGTATGTCTGGATTGTACAGAATCACACCCTTCTATGGAATCTCTTTGTGATATCCGTGATGGCTAACTGGGTAAACTGTGTATGCAACGACGATCCTTGAAAGGACATCACGGTTATTTGCTAAGGGCTCTCTTGGTTAAGTGGAGCCACTTTGCACATGGTGATGTAAAAATTATTTTATTCAAGTAATGAAGAGGAATTGTAGCATACAAACTTGTTCAAAAAAATGCTGCGTTTACGGTGATAATACTCCGTTTTGATTGACAATCTCAATTTGATGCAAGGCAGTACAACTGCTGCAAACCACAACCATAATTAAAGCTGCAAGCACCAATGAACGAGACCTCGCACCCACTTTTTACTCCAGTCAGTGAAAGGATCATCCAATTATAAAAACAAAAAACAAAAACAAAACAAAGCCCTTCCCAATGAAGCAGACCTCAAACCCCAAACTAACCGCATATAACGATGACATCATCCACATTAAGAAAATCACTTGTTTTTATGTACAGTACTTAGTGAATGATAGATTGGGCTTTTCACTTGCTTTGTTACTCAAAATATTTGAGAAGAATTGGCTCCTAATGCTTTGTATGACTGAGGCTGACGACCGCGCAGCAGAGATCGACGTGCTCCCTAACTAAGGCGATTGCACATGTAATAGACGCGGTCATGTTTCGTTAGTGCACAGCCACAGAGGGGAAGGGATGAATTATGCTGGAGCAGACGCTTGCAGGCAGCAGACCAAATGGCTCCAAAGATCAAATTAGCATTTTTCACAGTGTTTCCGCATGAGCTGATGAAACTTGATGAGGGTCTGCAGTGTTATTTATTTTTTTTGCATGCAATACAGTTGCGATAACGTTTTCATAGCGCATGTTCACAATAATAGGTCATTATCTAAGCCTAAAAAAATGATTAGCTACACTCAGAATTGTCTTATGACAGGCCCCTCTGTCTTCGCAAAAGCAGCAGACTGTTTTTTTTTTTTTTCACCCCACATACTGCATGAAGGGACTTTGTCACGAGGATGCTGTCTTGCACATTATACCTACAGAGACCCCATCTCATCTCCCATCATGATTGTCCCCTCATCCATTGCCCTTTCAATTAGATGCTCAATTTCACCCTATCGTCCCACGGGAGTCACAACCACACCATCCCAGATTGGAATCCCATAATTGTCACCGACCCCCGTCAATGTGCATCAGAACCCCTGGGCTTCATTTCCATTCAGCATTGTCTGTCTGTTCAGCTTGATAGTGACACATGTGAGAAAGCACAGGACAATGAGCATGTACCAACCGCCTGACACAGGACTATGTCTTGATAACAAGGCTTTGATGTAGGAGGCCAAAAATTAGATGGACAGCGGCGCCTTGAGATATGAGTTTAGGTCATTCCGTGACCGTGATCGTAACACTAAACAATTACACAAAGCCCTTCCAGCCTGCCTCCCTGCCCCCCACCCCCCAAAACCAACTTTGTGCTTTGTAACATACGTGAATTAAATAATTGAATTTCTAGTGCCAGTGTAAATGCCTGTGAGTATTGCTATTTGTCTGCATGTGTAGCTCTGCCATTTGTATTCAAATGACCATTGCTTAAAGGATTCTCACACCGCAACACAGATAGTGTACGTCAGCCCACATACTCCGTTTTGCAGCGTTTGTTAACATTAAGATAAATAGCTCCGTAGCTGTGCTTTAATATCTGTTTTAAATACACAATATGATTTTTTTGTTTTGTTTTATATTTAGCTTGACGCGGCTCTTCCGTTAGATGGCAACAGTTACTCATGGCTTCCTACGAGGATTTCCCCTTTGTGTTAAACAATAAACAGGCCTACATTTTACACAGAGTAAGTCAATTTGATAATATATTGACAGGAACTATGTCAGTTGATATTTTATTGGGTGGTTCGCCGTGAGATTTCTCAAATGTCAAAGAGGCTTTAGCTCAATAAAGGCTGGGAAAACGTGGATTAAAAGATGCATTTCAATATATCTGACCATAAAGTGTCTCGTGGTCATTTTAGCCTTCCCGATCAGATAGAGTTAAAGCGACATCTAGCGGTGAATAGTGGGTATTATAAAATTGTGTACATAACAGTAATAGCCCAGCGGGTTCTTGGGGACAAAAAAAATATCTATTGTGGATACCGCAGGCATTGACGTTATTTATTAGAGGTAAGGTCGAAAGTAGTGATGTAGAAAGTGGTTGGCTGTAGTGTTTGCTCATCCTTGTGTCTATCCACAAGCAGTTATGTGATAAAGCAAAGCGTCACATTTTGGCCATGGACCCACTGATACGCTTTGTGGGTAGAACATCCCTTATCTTCTGAAGGACAGGATGTGACCTTCGTCGAAAGGATGTGTCTGAAGATCTCGTTTCTGGCATCAGAGCAGAGAAACATTGAAGTCCCAAGAATTAGGCAATCTGAGATATTTCATATATTTCATCATTCCTCACATCCAGTCCTCAAAAATTGCATGCTTGAGCAGTTTAAAAGATCAAATTGCAGATATACGCAAACCGACTGGACAATTATAGAAAATACAAATCCAATTCCAATGAAGTCGGCACGTTGTGTGAAACATACCGTAAATGAAAACAGAGTACAATGATTTGCAAACCATGTTCAACCTATATTTAATTGAATACACTACAAAGACAAGATATTTAATATTCAAGCCGATAAATTATTGTTTTTAGCAAAAAAACATTAAATGGGGCACAAGAAATCATATTACGGAAATAAAATGAGTGCAATACACACATAAAATTAAGTTATTAATTTATTCTAATTCACAGAGTGTATTGTACACAGGCATGTCCTATCCATAGTTTGCCACGAATCACATTGGCCACTTGTTAAGCAATACCTGAGGTAATGTGTTTTAGATATTAGGAGTGCTATATATGGAAAAATTTGGCTCCTCCTTCAAGTTTTGTGAGACACCATGTAATCGACTACTGTGCAGGGGCTTCAGAGTTAATATTATGGGCTTGTCTGGTAAGAGTATGAGCTCAAAGGTGCTCTGCACATTCACGTGTCGCTGTCCCTCCACTCGGAAGTTCTCAAGCATCTGTAAAGAAAGGAGGGAAATAATGGCCCTTCGTGTAGCTGTCCATATAGTATGTCATCCCATGACAAAATATAGTGTTACATGAGTACAACTCACATGGATGAGAAAGATCTGCATCTCGGCCTCAGCTATTCTGCGTCCGATACATTGGCGCGGGCCAAAGCCGAAGCTCAAGCTGCGGAAGTAGTGGCTCTCAGTCCTGAGCCAGCGAGAGGGTTGATATTGCTCTGGACGATAAAACACCTTGGGGTTTCTCCCCATTGCATAGAGACCTAACTGCACCAGGGTCTAAATGCATGACAAACATACCAGCGTGTCAGAAATGTTTCAAGACCCCTGTCACAAAAGCTATATTTCAAACCCAAACTACAAACTATAGAGTTTTCCCCTTCTGCTTGGGCCAGACAATGAACCGTCATTTCTACGAAGTGACCCTTCTGTGTTTGCTTCATTTGGTGTATGAGGAGAGGTGAGAGTTGTGGTTAGACAACTTGTGGCTGCTTCACAGTTTACACCAAAAAAAAAAAAAAAAAGATGGCCCTGATGGAGCTGCAGAGGATCCCGGAAGAATGAGTGAAGAAGGTGTGGCACTGAAGGCTGGAAAAGTTTGTTAGACTCCAGTGGGTTTACTTCCAAGGGGGAAACTTGTAGTTTGGATTTGAAATACAGTACTATGCTAAAATATGTCATGATTTACCCCCTCTGGAATGTGGTATTTCTGAATAATGATGTCCTCTGCTGTGTATCTTTGCAAGCTCACTGCAACTGGATGTAACCTTGAAAGACACAAGGATGAATGTTGTTTCTTTTATAGCAGACATGCCGACATTGGGTTGCCTCCAAGATTTTATATCACCTTAGTGTTTCCTTTATAGCTCCTTTGACCAAAGGAATCTTCTTCAGCATTTCCACCATGTCCCCTTGGCTTTGTTGCCTGGCAGACACCACCTCTGCCCTCAACTCCTCCTGAAGGCTTGGATGTCTGGCCAGTTCATATAATGTCCACAGCAATGTGATAGATGTCTGAAACATAAAACACACACAGGTTGATGACACCTGTGCAATGGAAATCTTCTACAAAGGTCATGTTTGGACTTTTGCTTACAGTATCAACTCCCCCAGCCATTAGCTCAGTGACACTGGCCTTGATGTCTTCAATAGACAACTTGTCCAGCATGAGCAGGCTGGCCAGAACTCCTGGATATTTTTTGGTATGACCATTCTCTTGGCGTAACTGCCTGTAGATGTTCTGGATACAGCGGTCAGCTGAGGAGGAAACGCAATATACACATTATTTACATTTGACCTTGTGCAGTCAGTCGCAGGCACGTATAAAAAGGCAACCAACCGGTCACTCTCATATTTTACAGGGACAGTGAGTGAGAACTGAAACTACTCTTCCAGCACAAGTCCGACGACTGATTATAGGACATCATTTAAACTGAAAATGACTGCTTTGCACTGAACATTGGTGAACATACACCGCCAAATAATCAGAGATTGGTGACAACATGTACAGCAAACGTGTTGGCCTCTTTCTTTATCATAGTACAGTGGGGCTCTGTCATTTTTTAAATCCTACCGACACAATTTTGGTGACATTTGACCACGTTTTTTTTTTTTTTTCCCTCGAATCTACTTGGCTTTGAAATACATTCTACAACAGTTGAGATTCCTGTTTTTTTGTGCAAGAGTTATCGCTGGAAGTTTTAGTAGAGAATTGTGACTAGTACAGTAACGTGCTGGCAAGAAACTTTGAAGGAAGTCAGTACTCAAGGCTAACACCAGTTATTATGTTGGTGAACATACTGCAGGATCCAAAGAGGCATTTAGGTTGAAGTGAGTCATGGGTTATCCTAAAAATGTCATACCTTGGTTAAAGATTCCATCCCAAGCATCCACGTGGTCCAGCCACACTTTGGCTCGGATCGGCCTGAGTAGAGCCGGAGGTATGTACAACATGGGTGAGGTTGTCTTGAACATGAGGGTGATGGAGTCAATGAAGTGTTGAACCTCCGGATCAATGTAGTCCAGCATCAGGCCCAGACGCTCCCCATAAAGAACTGCACTCACCGCTATGTAGGGCAGAACAAATAGTCACCACAGATGACTTCCGTAGCTCTTTGAAAATGCCAATCTAAAGTGGATGGTATCTCTATTTCTACAATAGTGATTTGATGGTGCCAGTCTCACACTCTAGCGCATATTTGAAGAGCTCTTGGGAGAGATCTGTCGTCCACTTGTTCTGTCCGCTTCGTTCTATCTTCTTGTGAACCCTGGCCACAAAGTCATGACCCACTTCGTCCAGTAAAGGAACAAATTTGCCCAGCATCTTCGGGGAGATCACCTCCTTATTGAGGATGACGCGGTTTGACCTCCACTCTGGTCCGTTCCTGATTGAAAAACAATCAATGAGGGTTTAACCTGCAAATGCCCAAACCACTGGTGTAACTAAATCCATTTGATCAGTCCACCATTTGCTATTTGCTTTTTTTTTTTTTTTAGCTCTACACAAATAGAAATACCCATCTCAGGCAACTTAAGTTTTTGAGGTTTTGTCATTGTACTAAAACTAAACTCCTCATTTCAGTCACAGGACTTAAAGTAACAAGAGTTGAGTTTTTAGCATTGAATTAGCAACACAGAACATGAACGAGAGCCACATGGAATTTATGCGAATAACATGCACGGTTGAAATATCATTAGAGACATGCAAAATACATGAGAAAAGTTATTTTTGGCTTTTGCAGGGGCTGCACTGATTGGAATGATGTAATCTGTGGACACTGACTTTTAAAATACAGTATTCAAAAATTTCAGAGGGGCTAATGTGTTAGGGTAAGAGGACAGGGTGAAAACCAAGGGACATGTCTAAAGTTGGGATAAGGAGTACCACAAATGTGGGTATGTAAAAAGGATAACATTTTAAATGATTGAAACAAATTAATTTGTTGTAATTTTTAGGAAGAGGAGACACAGGCAGCTGATTAAAATATTTATAAATATTTATTACTATTTTTCAAGTGTTCAAGGTCGTTAGGATTAACCTTTTAAATCACATATGCAATCGGATCAATGTGTAGGACACTTTGCTGAGTAAAAAATATATTTTGCACTTAATTTTTTTATTTTGCATCTATACATTAATTTCCTGAGGACACAAATGGCACAGATTCACTGTAATGACCCATAGGTATTGCGTTGGAGAAGAATGTTACCTACTTCAGCAAAACTCCATATTTACGATTTCTGTAGTCTCTGTATGAGGTCCAGGCTTCCACTTTCAGTCTTTTGGGATAAGAACCTTCTGCTTTGAACAAGATGGCAGCATCCTCTGGGTTGATGATATTCACACTTTCATAATATCCTACTTTTTCTCTTAACATGTACAAGGAGAGAAGGAAAAAGAGTCGAATCAGCAACGTATTTTATAAAATATATTTTAAAAGTTTCTGTATTTGAAGCTTTCAAACAGCAGAGCACTTGGGATGTTTGATGCCTTGCCCAAGGGCACTTTAGTCAAAAGTGGATGTCGAGGAAAATCAAACAGTGAGCAGTGACTGACAGCTGTACCATACTGAACCCAATCACTTAGTTTCAAGCGATTGGGTTTTTTTTTCCTCACAATTTATGATCGAACCCATTTTTAGGCGATACAATTTATCCTTCATACCTGTAAATGGGTCCAAAAGTATTGAAATTCTGGAGCATGATTCGGTGAAGGTTTTTGAAGCCATCCAGCTTCCAGAAATTGTACAGGTTGGCAATGCCATTCTTCCACAGCCCAGGAATCTCGCTGTAAGGTTTGATGATGCTGCTGTTCTCAGCGAACGCCTGTCTAACCATCGGCATGCTGCTGCTGCTTCTGCAGACGCCCGCTGCCATCAGTTTGTCCAGATAGCTCGCAGGGAAGGCAGAGGAGCCGTGCCACAAATTCCACCTGGTCATTCCTACAACTGCTCTCTGCTTTGTCAAAAGCAGGAGGTTCAAGAGCTGGAGGCTGGTTTAAATAGTCCTCCCCACCCCCTTGCGCTCAAGGCCCTCCAAAGTTGTCTTTGGTGTCATACACTGCAGCATGAGATTCAGCTAGTGAGATGTATGAACACGTTTGTGAGATTTATGAAGTATGATTTATAAGGTGTGATGCAGTCACGTTTAAAAATACATACTGTAAACATCATTGAAATAAAAGTTTGCTATTGCAGGATAATGGTAAAACTTAAGTGCAGTAGTTTGATCAAAACATTAAAATATATATTTTGTTTTTAGAATTTCAATGATTATAGCTTACAGCTAAGGGGGGAAAAGGGGAAAAACGATTCCCTCAAATTCCCCTCAAAAGAAATTTTAATATTTCATAAAATGATTTTAACTGAAAAATTAAGATTTTCTGGATGTGTTAAATGAATCTATAAATTTTACTTTGTCACTTGAATTACTGTAATGATTAAGCTTTTCTCGTTTACTATTTACTGGAATAACACCTGATTGTATTTTTGTATTTTAATGGAGTGTCAGTGTGTTTAATTTAAAAAAAAAAAAAAAAGACCAACTTTCAGAGAAATTCATAACAAATGTAATTAGTGCAGACAATAAAAACCAGTGCGCTCCCATCAAGTCTAACTTGCAATAAATAACTCATGAAAACGTTACTCCCTAAGCAGCTTTATGAGTTCCTCCAACTTCATAGCGGTTTTAATATCCCCCTGAATTTGAAGTCTACCGCTGCTGTAAGCAGCAAGTGGCTGTAGTATTCCCTGGAACATGGCCAGAAGGTCCTCGTCACACATAGTCAGTGTTACATCTGGCTGTCTGCACAGGGATCCGGCTCCAGCTGCCCCACGACCTAGACAACACACACGGCGTGAATATCTGATATGTGCAGTTCCAATTATTTCATACGACAGCGCATTTTGTGTACGGATCACCTTGGCTTAAATCCACAAAGTAACTGCAATGCTGTCCCTCTGCTGAGATGATATCAAAGTGGAAGCAGGCACCGACCTGGTTCACCAAAGTTTCGGAGAGGACACGCTGGACTGCACAGAGCAGCTCTTCAACAGAACTTAGTGTGGCTGCAGCCTGACAGACGCCACTCCGTTCATCTATGAATGTCACACTGCTCTCTGCAACGAGATAAGATAGTTTCAAGCAGCAGTGGTCTAGTGGGTGTTGCACCTTAATTTATTGTGAACATAAGGCCTTACCTTGCTGAGGCTGCAAGCTGTGGCTCATAAAGTGCATGGCCAGCTGCTGAAGAGGACCTGCGAGGCCCTCCATTCCAGGTACAGAGGGGGGAACAACAAGAGGCCCAGGAGGTCCTTCCTCAGGGGCTTTAAGAAGAGAACCTGGTGTGAGTTCTACCCTGTCTATCTCCAGCCCCCAGGGACGAGTCATCTCATTTATGTCTACCTGCGGTCAGGAGAGGTCAAACGTGAGCATGAAGCAGCTGAGATACACTTTAACACATCCTGAGTTAAATGTCTTACACCAAGGTATTCTCCCAGTTTCACTCTCTCCGTTTGGATCTCTCTGACCGTCTTCTTGGCCAAGCTGTGAGTTAAAGCGTTCTGAGCTGTCATTCTGGTTGAAGTATTCAGGTCCTGCACGGACACCACCGATAAGACGGGGTTCCAGATCCTGAACTGAATGTCTGCTCCCACGGAGAAGAGGCCACCATCCCTGGTATGTACCTTTTTAAAAAGAACAAAAAAGAAATTGATGGAAATTGAAAGATCTGTGCTCCATGACTGCCCCCTGTAGGACAAAGGAAATCACACAAACTGTCCTGATTCGAGTTTGGGAGTTGCCATCTTGTTTTTTCTATGATTACTGTTTACTCAAGTCGTGGACTCAAATTGTAAAGGCTGGTTTGTATAAAAAACATTTCCCGATTGTGTCATACTCAAGTTTCGTAACTATCACTACCTGTGTGACATTGTCTTCAAACTCCCTGTGGACTGTTGTTATTGGTGTCCTATACTCAGAGGTGGGTAGTAGTCCGTTTGTTACTTTTGGGATACGTTTTACTGGCCAGAGCAGTTTCGATTCAATATACTTTTTAATTTTACATGAGTATAGATTAAGAAGAAACTGTGTTTCTACTCTCATTACATTGTTTACAGGACCAGCACATCATGATAAATCTTCAATGTTAAATTTGTTATTTGTGTGTCACTACGGTTGGTTTACCTGGCATGGGGGTATATTGAAAGCACGGGTGCGCAGGTCTACCCTCTGCCACTGGTCAATGAGGGGCAATACCAGGACAATACCCGGACCCTTTGGAGGACAGACACGACCCAGGCGAAACACTACTATCCTCTGGTAGTTTGGCACCGTCTACAAGCATAATGCAAATCGGTTATATAGTCACACTCAACACAAAAGTGGAATCAGTTCATGAGTAAGATGGCTTACTTTTAATACAAACCACCCTGTTATTGGAAAGGTTATAAAGGTGCAGACGTGGACGAGGAGGGTGACAATTAGATTGCAAATCGATGACAGCCATCCCTGGGAGCTATCTTCAAGAAAACAAAGTTTAAACAAGATTTAAAAAGAGGCTGTACATATTTTTACATTACCAGTGTACTGGTATTATAACACTACACTACTAACTGTCATCGAGTGTAGAGTATTTGGTTTGTGGTGGTGAACTGCGCTGGCACTGAACGATGCATCATTTGCTTGTTTACGTACGTAACATACGCAATAGAGCTGTTGTTAGTTATCTTTAACTGCTTCATAAAAGGTTACGCCATATATCACTGGAGTCGTTTTCAGAAACGTTAGGAATGTAATCCACGCCACATACCACTGAAGTCGTTTTCAGAAACGTTAGGAATATATTCAAAGGAAAGCCCTTTATGGTAGCCCGCTCGTGTGTAGCTATCGGCGGATACAAACAGTCCAGGAGTCCGCGGTACTGTCGTGTCATTCTGAGAAAGACGCTGGTAAGACTTCTCAAACATTGTGAAGGTAACTCGCCGCTTTCACTAAATATCAAAAGATTTACAGCATAATTATGGTGGTTTTCGTGGCTCGTGGTATGGTTTGCTCATACTGTTTTTCCGTGTTTTGCTTCTTCGTCGCGTGAAACAAATGTTGACATTTGCGCCGCCTATCGTCGGTTACAATTAAAGTTTTTAAAAACATAAATCGGGGAATAAGATGCTGTGTACAAAATCAAAATTATTTAAATGTTAATGTCATTTCACAGACTCAAAAACATCAACCAAAGACATGAACATTAAATATTGAGTTATTAGAGCTGAAATTAAACAAAGATACGTTCCCCCGTTGCTCTGTCACGAAATTTTGACAGTGTTGCAAGGTATTGGGCTGCTGATAAGCTTTATAATATTTGCATGTATTGTGAAAGTATGGATAAAAACGTACAGTTATGTATACAAATTTCTCCCTGTTTTCTCACAGGGATCTTGTTCAGTCTTTGAACATATCACTCAGCAACTTCTCCCTCGGTTGTGCTGCCAATGGTCCTTTGAAAAGAACCCTTGCTTGATTGTTCCAACAAAGCCGAGCAACAGCAGCATTAACAGTCGCCCAACCATTGACGGGCCACAAAGAGGGCTTCCACAGCTGGCACTCCGGTGAGGGTAAATGGCACTGACGTATTGACTCTGCCACACCCACGACTGGTCTTGCTGAGTCTCCACCTGCTTGGGGCCTTGCAGATTGTTGCTACAATTAGACCACGCTTAAAAAACATCCACATAAAGTATGAGAGACTGGAAGATTGTTGCCTTACTTGCCTTGAGTCACACAACTATTCTGTGTACACAGCAGTTAGTAATTTTAAATTGGCAATTTCTTTAAACAAAATCTGTCATGTCAAATATCTGTCCTTTTTACCAATGATGCCGCTGTTTTCTTTCTTTCACAGAGCCATTATGAATTCCTACCAACTTGGCAGTGCTGATAGTGGAGGGCCTTCGTGCAAGGGGACAAGAAGATTAACACCAAATGCCGTGTAAGCAAATGTCGATTTGTCGTCCTCCCAATCTGGGCTGTCTACACATTCAAATCAATCACTTTGAATACTTACTGTAGATGAAAGTCATTAATTGTCAAACCCTGTGATGATTGACAATTCATTTATTTCTAGATTCCATAGTTTTAACACAGCAATCCCATAATTTTATTTAATGAGCCTGATGGCCAGTTAATCATGTCATACAGGAAACTTTACCCATTGTAGCCACCCCACATCAAGTGGAAATTTCAGATATCTGTCTTTCCTGCGATTTTCACATGGATGTAATATATCTCTAGGTCCGTTTATACTCTGCCACAACTCATTCATATTAACTGTATATTTACACAGCAAATTTATAATTGATCTGAAGGTAAACTCAAAACATATTCAACACATTTATAATAGGAGCAGGAACAAACCTAAGGAGAAAGCAACATTTAGAATTGTTCGGCTTTTAAATCTGATATGACTGAATTGGCCTTCGATAGCAGTATGCAAAATGGTGTCAGTTGTCGGTTACAGTGAACACTTGGATTGGCTACGTCTGTCTACACAGCCTTGTTGAAATGCTTTGTTTCATGGTACTAAAAAAAACAAAGACCAGGCTAAATCATTTTAAAATGTTTTCCAGCATTAATTAACGTGTCTATTGTTCACACCTGCGATTTAGTCTCCAATTAACCTGGCATGCATGTTAATGTGGGAGGAAGCTGTAGTACCCAAAGAAAACCCACGCAAGCATGATGAGAACATTCACAGAAAGGCCGAGTCGAACCCTAAACTTCAAAAAGTGTGAGTCAGACATGATGCACACCATGTTCCCAAGTAAATAATCCCAATATGTTTAGTTTGTTGCTCAGTTTTGAATAACACTTAACATTTATATAATGAATAGGAGAGGCAGAGACCAAAATATTGGAAAAATGGTTCAGGCAGAATTTAAACCCAGCTCATGTGTATATTATTAGACTGTCAATGTATGCCCATTGTCTTGTCTGATAAAAGCCATTTTTACACTTTAATGAGCTGAAAAGTTTTCTTTACAATAAATGTTCTATGCGCACAAACTATTCTATTTTCTAAACAGGACATTCTGATTAATAATTGTGTTTGTGGAATCCACCAGTTTTTATCAATCACAGAGGGCAGCCATTTTGACTTGTGTTGTCGACTGAAAATGACATGATGGTTGCTCCGGGCTCAGGTAACAACTAATCACCACTGTTTTTGTAATAATGCAGTCTTTATAACAAAGAAAGGCAACAGAAAAAAAAAGCAACAATTTACTTTTCGAAAGGCAGTAAACGTTGACTTTGTGAAACTGCCTCACTCAGCGCTATATCCCAGGTAGCGATGGAAAATGGTGGGTAAAAAAGAAAAAAAAGCGCAAAGATTGAGGTGTCAGCACTCTGACTGCAGCCTCGATCGCCCTGCCTTGCCATACGCTGGCACTAATATAATCCACACAAGGGCTAATTCAGTTGTCCCTTTTCAGAACAAAGTTATGTCAGCTTAGTTTAACAGGGAGGAACAGGCTATTGTACAAATTCTTGATAAGATGGTATGACTTATGTATATAATGCATTTGAAAAATGTAAACAATGCCCTCTGACTTTTTGTCAAGTCATGACCTCCATAATCTTGTTTAGGAGGATTTCTTGCGTTTTGGAATGAATTGACTAACATTTTTTTACCCCAACTGTTACCTCAAATGTGCCTCACTTCTTATTGGTATCGTATTGGTCTCATTTTATATAATACATCCATATCACCCCCTTTTTTTAAAAATATTTTTTTAACAAATTTTGTAACAGAGGTGATGTTATGCACTATGAAAAAGCTGTACTGCCACTTAGTGGTATCTATCCCCAACTACAGTATTAGGATTTTAAACTAATGCATAACGGGTGTGTGTGTGTGTGTGTGTGTGTGTGTGTGTGTGTGTGTGTGTGTGTGTGTGTGTGTGTGTGTGTATATATATATATTGCATTATTTTATAAATGCACCTCATGCAAGTCTGATGAATGATATTTGTACTCCAGGGGGCCCACACGTGTACAGTACATAGAGGGCGGCACAGTGGTCGACTCGTTAGCACGGCACCCTCACAGTGCAGAGGTACTGGCCTTCCTGTGTGAGTTTACGTGTTCTCCCCGTGCCTGCGTTGGTTTTCTCCGGGTACTCCGGTTTCTTCCCACATTCCAAAGACATGCAAGGCAGGTTAACGGAACGCTCTATTGTCCCTAGCACTGATAGTTGTTGATCTATGTGTGCCCTGCGATTGGCTGGCAACCAGTTCAGGGTGTATCCTGCCTACTGCCCGAAGAGAGCTGGGATAGGCTCCGGCGTGCCCGTGACCCCGCACCCATGACCCTCGTGAGGATAAATGGATTAGAAAATGGATGGATGGAAGATAAATTGAAAATATAGTTGTCAGAGTAAAGGATGGAATAAACCGAGTGTGGCCAGTGGACCACACTTTGCCCACCTGTGATCTAGTTTAAAAATATAAAATAAAATACAGTAATACTTCACAGTACCCACAAATGGGATTTAATGTACTGTATCAGTAGGAAGGAAGATTTTCAAAGAGATTAGTCCCCAGTTGAACTTTTTGCCACATTTCAGGCTTAAAACAGCATATTATAGAAACCCAATTCCAGTGAAGTTGGGACGTTGTTAGATATGAATAAAAACAGAATACAATGATTTACAAATACTGTAATGTTTAACTTATATTTAATTCAAAACTGATAAACATTGTTTTTAGCAGAAAAAAAAATGACCTGAGAATTTTTTGGCTGCAACATGTTCCCAAAAAACTCGGGCGGGTTGGTTTATGTTTACCACTGTGTTACATCACCTTTTCTTGGAAACAGTTTTCAATAAACATTTGGGAACTGAGGACACTTATGTGTTGAAGCCTTGTAGGTGTAATTCTTTCCCAGTCTTGCTTGATGTACACCTTTAGATGTTTAATAATCCGCGGTCTCCGTTGCTTCATAATCCACCACACATTTTGAGTGGGATACAGGTCTGGACTGCAGAAAGGCCAGTCTCGTATCCGCACTTTTACTACGAAGCCATACTGTTATAACACGTACAGCAATTGTCTGGATTGTCCTATTGTTGTGAGGAACTGCCCCCATGCCCCCCCAAAAATAGTTTAAAATGTTTCGATATTCCGGAAACGTTTAATGTATGGCAGGAAAAAGTGAAAAGCACCTAATTTCTTGTGGGAAAATAATAAATTGAGTGTTAAATGTTAAATTAAAGGCTGACGTTTTTCTGAATGTGACTCTAAATTAATGTCCGAATATGTCTTAACAATTCGAAACGTTTTACGGAAGCGGGAAGTGTTTCGTCACGTCGGGAAGGCTTTAATTCGGAACGGAGGTTTTTTCTTCGTGGATTTCTGTACAGTCCGTGTGACGTCAGCGCGTCGTCAATTTGTGACGCCGTGTCCCTTTGTTGGCTTAACAGCGGCGACGTTTTGTTGTTATTTTCGCAGCTGCCTGGAAAACAAGCTCGGATCACTTCGCCTCCTTCGGCTCATTCCGCGAGCAACCGCGCGCACACTGTGTTTGTAGACCTCTAGGTGAGTTTGTCACAAGTTGATAAGCGCCCCTAGGAATGGACTCAGACGAGGGTTATAACTATGAATACGACGACGAAGAGGAAGAATGTAGCGAGGACAGCGCCGAAGAGGAGCCCGAGGACGACACCCTGGAGCTCGGCGAGGTGGAGTTGGTCGATCCCGTTGTGGCCGCCGCGGAGCGGGACGAGTGCGGCGATACGGTCGGAGGCGGTCAAGGCCCCGGCGAGGAAGAGGAGGAGGACTACCGCTTCGAGGTTTTGACCGCTGAGCAGATCCTCCAGCATATGGTGGAGTGCATCAAGGACGTCAACGAGGTTATCCAGGTAGGGAGTTTGTCGTGTCACGGTTCGAGAAAGCCGAGGTCCGCAGGTCCGGGGCTCTTGATGAACAGTTACCAGGCCATGGTTGTTAGCTTAGCAATTAGCTCTCGTGGAGTAGTTTACTTGCTGGAAGTTGACAGGTTAACTGGGGTGGCTGCGAGTACACGAAATGCGGACGCGATTGTAGTCGTTCTTTG